CCCAAAAACAAAGGCGGCTTCAACCCCCAATTCATCCCCTCCCTGGAGGGCGTGGCGGCGCTCTTTGGCCGCTCCTTTGCGGCCGCCTCCTTCCTGCTGCACGTGGCCTTCATCAACCTCTTCGCGGCGCGCACCATCTACAACCACGGTGCGGGGTGGCGGCCCCGCGGTGGCGCGAAAGATCCGACTGTGTCGGGGGGGGGGGGTTGTTGTGCTGGGTGGCACGGCGCGGTGTGGGGAGAACGGCCGGCGGTCTGTGCCGCATGCGGGGATCCCCCACTCAAGCGCATCCCTGCGCCCCACAGTCCTGGCGCCAGTGGCTCAGCGAGGGGCCATCCGGGAGCTAGCCGGGTTGCTCATGGCAACACCCCCTGCTTGTCGCCCCCGCCTGTTGTTTTGCGCAGGCGTGGTGTCGCGGCTGCCCACCAGCCACTCTGTGCTGCTGGCGGCGGTGGCGGGGCCGCTGGGCCTGCTGAGCCACCTCCTTACAAAGGTGTGTGTGTGTGTAGGGGGGGCAAGAGGAGATGTGGTTTGTGTGGTGCGTGTGGTGTGTGTAGTATGTATGGGTATGTGTGGGGGGCTCAAAGTGTGTGTAGCCAAGTGATCGGCCCCAAAGTCGGTGCAAGGAAGGTCGCAACTCCGCGGGTCTCTGCAGTCGCAGCCAGGCTCCAGGGCAGGCTGCTGGGGGCCATCGCGGGCGAGACGAGCGGCGCGCAGCCATGAGCTGCAGATGGGTCAGCCGTAACTTGCAGGCGCAGCGTGTGACGGCTGCGCTGGACGCCACTCTTAGCCCTGCTGCACAGCTATCATGGCACCGCGCAGACCTTCGCCCCCTCCTGAGCACCACCCTGCACGACCTTCAATACCACTCCGGGGTCTTTCGACCCCCTCCTCCTTCACACCCCCTCAGGCCTGGTTTGCTGTGCTGTCCAAGATCACTGGCCGCGACATGCGCCCCCGCCCACGAGCCATCAAGGCCGCGGGGGGCTCTGGCGTGATCGTCATCCTGCCCTACGAGGAGCAGTGATGGCGTACGTGTCGCACCCAATTTGATGGCGGCGCGGCAAAGTGGCCTTGCCATGACCTGATCTGTTTGCAGCGGCAGGCTGCCCTGGCGCGCCGCTTGCCAGCACCCCTGCAGCCCAACACAGCCCGTCTATTGTTGCGGGAAGGCGCCCCGTCAGTTGCGGTCAGTTGTCGTGCAACGTGCATGCAGGGAGCAGCGCAGCAGACAGCACAGACAGCAGCCCGGCCCAGTTGGTCATGAGGGGGGGGGGCTGCATCCGTGGCGCACCAGCCCACGCTGTGGCATGCCGGGCCACCTTGACCCAGAGAGATTCGCCGTGGCCCCCCTTTTTTTGTGCGCCGCTCACAGTGTGCGCACTGCAAACCACACCTGCCCGTGTTCCCGCCATGTTCAAACGCTCTGGAATGCTGAGGGCGGCTCGCAGCCGCTCCTGCCGCCCGCATGACCCGCATCACCCTCACACGCCTGCCACCCCCAGTCCGCACGAAGCCTTCGCTCACGCCCAACCCCTGTTTTGCAAACCTCCGACCTTCCTTCTGCGCATGTGCAACTGCGTGCCTCGCCCGCCCGCCGCTGTGTGCCGCCGCTTTTGCCGTTTGTTAGCGGCCCGCTGCCTGTCTGCAACGCTCGGATGGGCGGTGGGCGCCCCCCTTCAAGCGCTGCTGGCGTTGCTGTCGTCAATCGCATGCGCCTCTGGCCTCATCATCGCGGAGTGCATTACCATGTTACAACTTTTCAAGTACACAGTTGCACAGCAGCCGCACCCAGGGTGTTTCAGCAGCGTCAGAGTTGAGAATTCAGTCCACAACACGGCTGGGCGCACACGGCGGGCTGACCGGGCTCGCAGGGGGGGCCTTGCTGAGGTCAAGCCCAGAGGCTGGCAAGCAGCTGGGTTGAATACAGATAGTGACGTAACGGCACACACAGAGATGTGGACCAACCAATGATGGGAGTTGTTAGGGAGCCGAACAGGCAACGACGACACCGACCTCTGCCCTGAGACCGCTCTGCGGCCAAGAGGCCCTTCGCAGGCCCCTGCGCATGCGCGGCTGCAGTCGGGCGCTGGGCTGCAGACCCCGGCGGTGGCGAGCCCTCACACCTGCGTGCCACCTCAAAAGTCGGGGGGCTGTGCCCTGGCCGACGTGCAGGCAAGTAGCCCGCAGGCCGCGCCGCTGCGCCACGACAGCTCCACGGCCTCCTCCAGTTGCCAGCAGCAGGGCCGCAGGGCAAGGTGCGTCCGTGTTTGACACATCAAAACCCCTACTGCTCATGGCTGGGCGCGGCCGGCCGTCACGCTGCACTCCGCCGCCCCCGCCCCATCCGCGCCATCCGCCCCCACAGCCGCCACCACCGCCGCCGCCTGCGGCGCGGCGCCGCCGGCGCCGAGGCGGCTGAAGAGCAGGTTGCCGGTGGCCCCCGTGATCTCAAAGGACCCCTTGCGCCCCTCCTGGTCCACATTGCCGTCCACCACCACATTGGGGAAGGCCTCCTCTATGGCATCGGCAATCTGAATGTACCTGGACGGGAGTGGAGCGCCGAGGGAGCGGGGGTGTTGTGAGTTAAGGGGTGGGGCGTTGGGCTGTCAGGTATGGCGGTGCTGGTGATGGGGGTGGTGGGCAGTGCGGACAGGGGGCGCGCGGAGTCAAACCGATGCCCGGACCGGTTGGCGGGTGGTGCAGGGCTGCTGGGCGGAAAGCAAGGATTGGCAGGCATGCAGTGGCGCTGCTCAGGGGCCGCTGCGAAACACACAACGCCCTTCCTGCCTTGCGTGAAACTGAGCAAGAGTATGCGCGACCGCAAGACATCCAGGCCAGGCCGACTCACACAAACACACAAAGCCAATCGCACCCCCTCACATGTCCACATCATCAGGGTCGTACTCAATCACCACCCGGTCTGGCGGGGCGCCGTCCAGGCCGGGGCAGCAGCGGTACGCGCGGCGCTGTGAGTGCACGGCGCCCGTCAGCACTGCGGCCCGCCGCACGACGATGGGGGGCCCGCAGCGCCCGCAGCCGCAGCCTGTGCAGTGGGGTGCCGAGGTGGCTGCGGTGCACTGGGTGCAAGTGCAGGGCGATGCTGTGGCCCATGGGTGCTGGTGCTGCTGCTGCTGCTTGGCCTGCGCAAGGACGCTCATCAGGCGCGCCGTGGAGGGAGCAGCGCTGCAGGTGCTGCTGGCGCCCGCGCCGCCCTGGTGAAGTGCGCCTGACAGTGGTGCAGCGAGGCGCCGCAGTGCCGAGACACGGGGCATGGCTGCTCTTGCCGCTCTTGCTTCGAAGGGTGGCCGCGCACAGTGGAGCGCGGCGCGTCGGAGGATGGGCTTTGGCGCCCAGCCGCTGGGGTTTGGCAGCCGCCTTAAGAAACTCGTAAGCTATCCACGGCGTCTGGGCGTGCTACTGCCAACACTGTGCACGCGGCTGGTGTAGCAAGAGATGGTGGGGAATGGCCGAGGCTCGGCTGCGTTGCAGCGCAGATGCTGCAGGTTCAAACAACTCAAGCCACACTATGAATCAACTCGAGCGACATCTGAGAGCGTGCGCGCTTAGATACCGGTACTGCAGACGACAAATCCCACCTGTCCAGCAACAGAAGCAATGTGTCACATATACCGAGCCCACAGCTCTGTTCCGACCGCAATTTTGAGCCTTATCGTCGACAACGCAACATATAAATTCACTTCAGCATTCGCGCCCTCTTTGAGATCAGCGGAACGCACGATATGCCGCTGTAAGACGACTCCGACACCCGTTTAGTGACCAGAACGGGCGCGTGGAAGGCGCTGATACCTCTATCAAACATCATGGAAACGCCGGGCGCAGGGGCGGCGGCCGGTGCTGGCGACGCCCCTGATGCCACGCCGCTCGCCCCTGATGCAATCGAGCAGCACGCGGGCGATGGGGATCTCTTTCACGACGCCCTGGAAACCATACAGGCGCGCCACGTGCTGCCGTTGGCGTAAGGGCGTGAGAGGGCTCCCTGTGCGGCTCTCCGTTCATGGCGCGCACGCAGCTCGCCCTGGTGATTCGCGCGAGACGAACCTTTGCGCTGCGCGTCCCTGGCGCCCCTCCTGCGCCACTGCCCCCACCAGGACCTCGCAAACGCCATGCTCGACCCCTTCGACCTCTCCGCGGCCGAGGGCAGCGTGATGCACGCCTCCGACTCTGATGGCGGCAGCTTGGCCGGCAGCTTCTCCATAGGCAACGGGGGCAGCGCCAGCACCGGCTGCGCCGGCAGGGCGGCCGCAAGGGCCGCAGCCGATGAGCCTGACGATGCGGATCACGATTACGAAAAGGTACCAGACCACCAGCCTCGTGTTTCCGGCGCCACGTCCTACGTAGAGCGGTTGTTGTGACGATGTCCCGCTTGAACCAAAGCGCGACTGAAACCAGCCGTGGCGCTCAGACGCTCCTCAGCTGCTGCTCACATGTGACGCCTTGAGCTTTCCAGCTACTGCAGGCTGCGCTACCACACCCTCGCCGCCCCTAATCGCCCCCTCACCCTCACCCGCGCCAACCCCCCTCACACCAAAATTATCAAGTTCGACATCGGAGACCTGGGCCCGCTGCTGTCTTTGCGCCAGCTCAGGCTGTCAGCCGCGCTGCTGTCCCCCGAGGCCATCCTGTTCCGCGACAAGTTTTCCTTTGTGCTGGGCCTCAGCCTCACCTGGTGCGGCCCTGGCGGGGGCACCGCCGAGACGGCCGCGCTGAGCACGCACTGCACGGGAACGCAGCCGCCCCTGCGTGATGGCGTGAGAGAAGATGCGCGCTGAGGCAGCTTACGGCATGACAAGAACTAACCACTGCGCTGCAGCCCTTCACCACGTCTCAGTATCCCAGGCCCCTGCCTTGACACCGCCCTCTTCCCTGCCCCCAACACACGGGCCCCTCTCCCCCCATCACGACCCCTCACAGGTGCATGGCCTACTGGCTGGGCTGGAGCCCCTCAACATTCTACCAGTGAG